GTCACAGTGACTTGGTGTTTCATATAAACACTCTCAACTCTGCAGTCTACCCTTCCTGTTGCTTCTGCATGGATTTGATCCCTGAAATAAATACCGATCAAACAATAATCTCAGGCCGAACAAGTCCCGAGCGGTGCGCATGCCAGCAACAGTACAAAATAATTATTAACGGATGTTTGAGCTTTCATTGGCACTTTTTCTCGTTTTTGCTTGTGGGCTGCTGTTGTTTGCGTTAGAGGAAACAGTTGATAATAAGACCAGGCGGGATGATAATATTTATGTTCTGATTTGTTTTCCTGTTTGCGTGGTGTTTGCTAAGTCAAGCACTGTTGCATACACTTTAAATTTCAGTTTGTGTCGACCTACATTCTTGATTTATCAAACCATGTGTGTTATTGAGCAGAGGTGTGCTGTGCTGTTACTTTACTAAATGATCAGATGTGTGATTTATCCTGCTGGATCATAAAACGGACGGGAGAACTTTTTTGGGTCAGTATATCCCAGAATGCCCTAGCAACCACTTAGCAACAACCTAGCATCATGGTGGGGAGTTAACTTTTGTTCCAGGGTTATTACCATTAACTAAAACAAAAAATCAATACTTGAAATAAAATAATCATTAACTGGGATAAAATATTAAGCTTATTTTATTTCTGCTAGTTGCCAAGGCAAAATTTATCATTTTTTTTAAATTCGTAAATCGAAATAAACTAATAAAAATTACTAAAACAGACAACAAAATTGCTAACTTTAAAGATAAAATGAAAACGTAAAATATAAAAATAGAATCTACTTCAAAATATTTAGATAAACTGTTCATAATATATTAATATAATAGTATATTAATTCGTACCAGCAAACACCACCAAGATTTTCTTGTGGAAGGATATGGTTTCACAGCAGATGGTGGCAGATGAGTTGATCCGACTCTAATTTGACACAAACTATAATGACATGTTGTTTTCTCCATGACGCAAGATGTTTTTAGCTGTCAGAATAATAATCCATGACTGAAGTTATATTAGCCGTCGCCATTTTTAATGAACATCAATGCAGCATATTGATGCAACACACACGCTCACATTCACAGGTAAGACAATTGGTAAAAGATAAAAGGCTGTGTTAAAAAATACAACATTAGCTAACTAGATACTGAACAATATCTATAGGGCTGTCACTTTATTGAACGCAATTAACGCAGCATCCATTTTTTTTGGCTGCGCTACAGTATATGATCTCTGCGCTACGTTCAAGTGGTATTAAACCATTCAAGCGTGATAAGACGCAAAAAATGACCTCAAATCTGTACTGGTGTGCGTCTGCTTTTTTTGGCCTTGTTTGCCTGCGCTGACTGTATAAGCAGGTACAGGTGGTACAGGGAATTTTGACTGCTTTTTCTCTGCCATAATTGTGAGACTTCCTAGCTTCTGGCCGCTACGTGCCTCTCCTCGTACTCTTTCGAAATGATCGAGTCAACCAGGTGTGCGGATGTGGGCGGCTCATGTAGCAGCAGGGGTGGTAGCCATGGTAGGGAGGGGGAGCGACAGGCACCCAGCCAATCATTGCTTTCGTTCCGAATGGAAAGTGTAGCTATGTTTATTGCAGCCCTGAGAGGACTACAAACACTCGATTTTTATACTCTCCTATTCAGAGTACTCACATTCTTGGTGTGTATAAAGGCCAATTTATACTTCTGCATAGGGTGCGCGCAGTAGGTACGGCGTAGCATACGTACAGACGCGTCCCATACCGCGCACCCTTCGCCGTAACCTGATGCTCCCATCCTCCTCAAAAATGTAACTACACGTCGCGACGACGCAGACCGCAAGATCGGTGATTGGTCGGCTTGGTAGCATCGCATTTCCTCCAACGCATTTCCGCATGTACCTTCTAAAGCATTTCCACACGTAACATCTCCTCCGACGTCTTCTCTCATTTCTGCCTTTCAGTTTTAGTAATTTCACTAAAATTAACTGTTTTTCCATCTCAAAAAGCTCCAACTCCAACATGATCTGCTCTCTTTCAATCGCTATTGCTTGTAACCTAGCTGCGAGGAATCTAAACACAGTGGAACATTAAAACCCTCCGCCGCCAACTAGCGTTCCGGAGCAGTACTGCAGAGCAACCAAGACCTGAACGCAGAAGTATAAATGCTCACGACGGCATCGCCTATGTGCCCTCGACGCAGAAGTATAAATTGGCCTTTAGTATATAAAGACAGTTTAAACAAATTTAGGGGAAAGTGTTAGCCTGACTTTGTCATACTCATATTCAAGAGAGAATATGAGTCTGAAACCGCTCTATTAGGCTTTGATTATGAGGCGCGTCGAAACCGAACGAGGAAAAAAAAACCTCTGCACTCACTTGGATAGTCGTTAGACCTACAACCAATCATAGCAATGCAGTAAGTCAACTCCTTTGCGTAGCGCAGTTTTCAAATACAGAACGCAGCCTAACTTTACTTATTTTAGAAGTTAAATAAATAACTTCTCCATGAGTGCCACCAAAGGAGAAACCACAACGACCACAGGCTTTTCATTATGCCCAATCTTCTTAGCGACCGTCAGAGCCAGCTGATAAGTTACACTTTTGCCGAATCATGTAGGAAGGACGCCAAAAATATCTTTTGGATCGACAAATGCCTTGATTGCAGTTCTCTGTTTGTCTATTAAAATGAACGCGCTGTCGATTTATTTGACCAAAGACGCGACAGTAGAATCTATACATCTCAATTCTCCAGCTGCAGTCATCTTTGACAAGCGCTCTTTAACGTTACATAACGTGATGATTACGTCCCTGCAGATCATCTGTCCATCATCGTATAAAGCCCGCCCTGGCAATTTGATTGGCCCGTTCATTTTTTGCCTGATCATAATTACTCCTCAATGGATCGAGTCCAGACCGAACTTCCCGACCAAAAAATGTTTTGGGCGGAGTTCGGGCTGGCATCCAGGCTAGGAAAGTGCCTACCCTACCTTTAATGGCTAAAATTGAAAGGGAAAAAAATCCAAAATGATATTTACTGTTTCATATACTACTTTTTTATGTATTTAAAAATAAATTATATTTTTAGCTTCTAGTTTTATTTTACACCGTACAACAAACAGAATGCAGTATGCAGAAAATATTCGTTACTTAGCTGTCCAATAACATAATGGTTCTGCAATTAATTTGTAGTTTATTCATTTTGCATAACATTTCCATAGTTTTCATATACTGCAATTCTAGTAAATGCAATTCCAAACGTACTCAAGTGTTGTAAGAGTGAAGAGAGGTGTGTGTGTGTGTGTGTGGTATGACTGCTTCATATGGTTAGAGCTCAAGGCATGTGCCATCCTTTAATGATTAATAGTCATCAGTATGAGACGCATTAATCCTTCCCATCATGCCTGCTGTTCTCCATAAGCCTACATGCACAGCACTTGCATTTTCTTTCACCCATGCACATATACTGCACATTCCAGCAGAAGAAGATTTGAAGGTCATCATAGTGAGGCAGCTCATCATTACCCATGATTTATGTTTAATTCTGCCTTTAACATACAACGACTCTGATTGGCTGGCTATTATCACAGACGCTTACTTGGTGCTATCCGGGTCAGAAAGGTGTTAATGTGGGTATCTGTATGCCTGTGAGAATGATTTTTGATTTAAACCATGATGATGACCAAGTAAACTGCCTAACTAGACAGCATCTAACAATCCCAGAATGCAGTGCTCAGTGGGAAAGTGATGCTCGTATTTCCTTCAATACTACAAATTATCAATGCAAATAGCTTTAATAATATTTATTCATATTTTGAACTAGCTTTTATTTTTAGATTTTTCAGTTTCAATTTTAAGTGCTTTTGTTATTTTTAGTTTCTATGTTTCTGTTCAGCTTTAATTTTTAGTTTTACTCATTTTAGTACTTCAAGTTTTGTGTTTTAAGCTTTCGTTTAATATACTGTTTATATACTGTTTAATATACTTTTTATATAAGTTTATATAATATTATATACATATATATATATATATATATATATATATATATATATATATATATATGAACTTATATAAGTAATTGAAATTAACAATAAAAACAGTTTTATAGTTTTAGTTAACAACACTGGTTAAATTCAGACTTTAATCACAGTTACAGAGCAAAGGTTGTGACTGAGGCTTTTGTTAAGAAAAAAATCATACCAGTTCAAGTTTTTTGGAAACTTTCATCCTGGTTTCTATATTTTTAACTCTCAGAGCGAGGCAGAAATGCTTCAGAAGATCTTGCTGTCCTGTAGGCTTTTGTCTCCCTGAGTCTAAAATGTGACCCAGTTTACTCGAGCTGGATTTGAAAAACTTCTTAGAGAAACTCAAGTCTGGAGGTTTTTCTGATCCAGCCCTCGTGCCCAGACCTGGGAGAAAACTCTGACCCAAATTACATACTGTACAAACTTAAGCTTCATTAAAAGAGCTCTGAAACCAGAGCACAGTCCCAAAGCCCGCTGAGCTGCCTACATAACTTTTATAGCCGTCACAGAACCTAATAAGTGACCGACGTGGGCAGCAACTTAGTCGACTTGCCTCAATTTAAAGCATTTTTGTTCTTTGAAATAAAGCTGAAAGATGAAAAACCTAAACTAAATAAGAGTTTGAAATGTTTATCTTGCTTTGTCTGCCATATTAATCTGAGCTCGGCACACAATGCATTGTGGGATTGCCTCCATACAAGGATACGTGTTTTCCAAAGCAAGGTCCGCATATTAAAGTTGCCTATATTTGCATGCGTAGCATCGGTTAAGATGCAATTTCTCAGCTGTGACTCTTCTTCTCATTGGCATATGAGGAGATTACGATTTTTTACATCTAAAAAATCTGGTAGGCAAAAACAAACGCAGCAGGTCGTTCATCATCGTGACACGCTGTTTTGATTTTCTGACGAGACAAATACAATCTTGTGTAATGATTTCAAGCAAGAATTTGTGGTTCTAACTCTCTCTCTCTCTCTCTATTTCTCTCAGTTTGTTTGCTCTGCTGTCTAAGAAGCACAATAAAGTTTTGGAGCAGGCGACCCAGTCCTTGCACGGGCCTCTGGGAGCAGACGACAGGACCGTCCTGCCCGACTATGTGAGTCAATCCCTCAGTTCACTGGTTCACATTTACCCATCAAGGGCTAATCTATTAATGTGTACATGTGCAAATAAAAACTAGGTTAAGTCTTAAATTCAATTTTCTTTTCATTTTTAAGGTCTGAAGTCTTATATGGTATAACAAAAGTCTTGATTATCTTTTTAAGAGGTCTTAAATTTGGGGCATGAATCGTGATATGGCGTGATATGTGATTATTAATCTTCAAAAGGCTATAATTTAATAAAATTAATATGAGTGGTGTACATTTCAAAGTAAATTCATTGCTGTTGCTGCGATAGGCACATTTATGCCAAGCAATTGCTTATTCAATTCAATTAAATTCACTTCTATAATTCAAAAACTCCAAATTCTACATTTTATTTCTATATCGCTTTTCGCAATACATATCATTTCAAAGCATGCTTTACAGAAAATGATTTATGGTTGATATCACTCTTAAACAATATTTACTTTTTTTAAGAGTGCATATTTGATCACCCTCATCATCTAAATGAGCATATGGAAGTAGTGAAAATATTTCAAAATAAGAGTCTCGTTGCATTTCTGTTTGTTTATAATTAAAAGTCCCGCATTATGCAAAACATTTTTTTTTCTTTTTTTTATTGGGGGGGGGGGGGGTTTCGCTTACACAACACACTGTATCTGCAATTTAATTTAGTGTCACTATAAGTACTTCTGTGATTATTAAATTAATACAGTATGAAGCAGAAATATTTAAACCTAGAATGATTCCTACATTCAAATAAATCATGTTCTTTTAAATATCTCCTCATATACTTTTTTTATTAATTAAAAATTAATTATTTGATTCATTTTCATCGCGCACCTAAAATTTTCAAATTAGTAGCACATTTGCTTCTTTGGAAAAAAATATAGACATACACATTTGCTTTGGCCTCAACTTGTGATTTGATCAATCGGATGTTAAAACCAGGCGTAAACAGCAACCCTGAGCCCTCAGAGCATCATTAGTCCTAAATGACGTGTGTGTGTGTGTGTGTGTGTGTGTGTGTGTGTGTTAGACAGCAGACAGTCCTTCTGGCTAGACATAAAGACACATAGTAGACATAAAGGGAGGGCGGGGCTTGGGAGGAAAGGGGGAGGGGCTATTTCAGGAGGTCATTTAGGTCAGTGGATTCAACCCTAGAGGGCAGCAGCCAACCTGCTCTGCTGCCCCCTAGAGAGGGGGTGGGGTGTCTGGGACAATGGGGATGTAAATGGAGTGTGTGTGAGAAGTTGAGAGTCTTCAGTGTGTGTGTGTGTGTGTGTGTGTTTGCTCCACAAACAGCCTGAGGCCGGAGCCTTGCAGATGTCTGCTGTGTGTCTGGGTGGGTCAGACTGCTGTCTGCTGTCCTGATTAAGCCCCGCACCCCTGCTTTGTGCCTCGTTCTCCTTCCATTCACATCTATTCCTCTTCATCTGTCCATCTGTCTCTCTCTCTCTCTCTGAATATCTTCACTCACACTCCCTTTTCCATCAGTTTCCACAGTTCCACTGAATGAAGACATCACTTGCTATGTTACTACATAACCTGCCCACAAAAAACAAAACAAAAAAACAACAACTTAATTTATGAGATGTACTCCTAGTTTCTGAAAACATGCTTTACACCCAAAGTATTTTGATTTTGGATATTTATGCCATCACTGTTTGTGGTGAATCGTTCAGAAGGTATAAAAATGTACAAATAAGTTTCATAGTAATCCATTATAAATAAAAATATTTAATAATAATCAAATAAAAACAATTATTGTCATTATTATTAATATTATGTATTGTTTTTTTTATTTGTATTAATATAATAAGAAATATAATAATAATATAATATACATCTGGAGAAGCATTTAGAAGTTATTGAAATGAGTAATTTGAATACCAATCAATTATTTTTAATTGTAAAAAAAAAACATAAAAGTATCATTAATATTATTTAAATAATAATAGTAATACATAATAATAATTATAATGATTACAAATCATAATAATAATTAATTCTTATCTATTCATTGTTATTATTAATGATAATAAAATGCTATTATAAGCTCTGATGAAGCATTCAAGGTATTTGATTAAAAACAGTAGTTATTTAAATTAGTATTCAATTATTATTAATTATAATAGATTAAAACATTAATTTGTGTGTGTATATATATATATATATATATATAATCTATTTATTAATTGTTTTATTTGAGATGGACAGAAAACTGAGTTGTATTTACTTAAAAAATGTAATTAAATACCTGTACTGCACGATTAGGATTACACAATTAAAGTATCGTCCCCTAGTGCGCATTGCATTGCATGTTTCATCAGTGTCATTACAGAAGCCATTTAGGTTTGTGTTGCCTATTTTGTTGATGTTGTTGTTTTGAAGACCGGACTTTGTGAGGAAGTTGTCCCTCCAGCGGGTTGAAGAGCCAAAGCAGAGCCAGTTTTCCCAGAAGCACCCTTTCTTCAGTAGAAGCGCATGATTGGGCTCCGGCTCTGTGTATTTCTGTGTTTCTCAGAGGAGTTTTATGGGAAGGATGTCCAAAACAGTTATCAAGCACGAGTTTAGACTTCATTTGATTTTGCAAGCCTTTCCTCTGTCATATCTTATAAGACAAACAACATTCACACACGCACACACACACTGTTTTTGTCTGCTGTCACTGTTATCGCCATGGGATTTCCTTCAATCTATGGGAACAGATGCAGTTTGTGATGTTAAGACTGTGTGTCTGTACATACAGAACATCTTATGAAATAGTTATCGCCAGTTATCTAAAATCTGACTGCATTTTCAAGACGTCAAGCAGCCGATATGTGTATGAAAATTAGAAATTAGCTTGTGTAAAAACAAAAAAATGTAATCTTTCAGTTAATGCTTATTTTATTTTAAGCAACAAAAGTTGTTTTATGGTTTAAAGGGATTACCCCAAAATTAGCCCATGATTTACTCACCTTCAAGCCATCCTAGGTGTATATGACTTTCTTCTTTCAGACAAAAGAACAATACAATCGGAGTTATATTAAGAAAATGTCCTGGCTCTTCCAAGCTTTATAATGACAGTGAATGGTTCTTTCTGTTTGGAAGTCCATCATAAAAGTGCATCCATCCGTCATAAAAGTGCATCTATCCATGATAAAAGTGCGTCTATCATCATAAAAGTGGATCCATCCATGATAAAAGTGGATCTATCCATGATAAAAGTGCATCTGTCCATGATAAAAGTGTGTCTATCATCATAAAAGTGCATTTATCCATCATTAAAGTGCACTATCCATGATAAAAGTGCATCTATCCATCATAAGAGTGCATCTACCCATGATAAAAGTGCATCTATCATCATAAAAATGCATCTATCCATGATAAAAGTGCATCTTTCCATCATAAGAGTGCATCTACCCATGATAAAAGTGCATCTATCATCATAAAAATGCATCTATCCATGATAAAAGTGCATCTAGCATCATAAAAGTGCATTTATCCATCATAAAAGTGCATCTATCCACAATAAAAGTGCATCTATCATCATAAAAGTGCATCTATCCATGATAAAAGTGCATCTGTCATCATAAAAGTGCATCTATCCACAATAAAAGTGCATCTATCATCATAAAAGTGCATCTATCCACAATAAAAGTGCATCTATCATCATAAAAGTGCATCTATCCATGATAAAAGTGCATCTATCCATGATAAAAGTGCATCTATCATCATAAAAGTGCATCTATCCATCATAAAAGTGCTGCACACAGCTCCGGGAGTTCATAAAGTCCTTCTGAAGTGAAGCCGTGTGTTCGTGTAGGAAAAATATCCATATTTAAAACTTTATTGACTAAAATAACTAGCTTTCTGACATACGGCCTACACAAGTCGACTTATGCCAAAAGAGTAACACTTGGCGATGTATGACGTAGGATGTAGGAGTCGCGTAAGCTTTGATGCCTCTCGCAGTTCAAACTAACAGGGCTGGGCAACAAACTCAAGCTCCTCCCACATTTCTCTTTTAGACTTCTTAGTGTTTTGGTTTGCTCTAACCTCTGCGCTTCAGCGTTGGTCATTATGTTGTGTGTGAAGTCAAGTGTTACTCTTTCACTGTAAATCGGTGCGTAGGCCGTCTGTTGGAAACTAGTTATTGTAGTCGATAAAATATGGATAATAAGGATATACAGCTAGGATAGCTTGAGGGTGAGTAAATCAGGAGGTAAATTTCATTTTTGGGTGAACTATCCCTTTAAGTTTTAGTTTAATAACCCTGATCTGTACGAAGAGAGAGACAGACCGCAGTGCCACGATTATGGGATGTCTCAGTGTCTTAATACAGGTCAGAAAGTGACCTATTTACCATCTCCCTAAAGACGCACACACTTTCTACCTGTCTCTTCCTCTGCCCTTCTTTTCCTCCCTCGTTTTCTTCTCCATCTGTTTCATTCTCAGTCCTCTCATCTTTGCTCTTTAAAGGCTCTTTTGATTGTCGCAGCAGCAGCTGGAGCGTTTACAGGTGGGAAACGCTTAGCTTGTTTTCCTCAGCGTCCTCCAAAATCCAATATGTATTCCAGCACTCGGTTTCTGATCATCACGTGTCAAACCGGTGTTCAGTGAAACTATAAAAGATTCACCGATTTACCTTAAAGGTGCCATCTAACATCATAAATCAAATCCTACTCCATATTCCATAACAGATGGGGGCAGTATACCTCCAAAAAATGACTTGTGCTCCTACCATCGCGCATGTTATTCAAATCATTTGACATGATAGTAAAAGGTTGGAAGACCGCAGTTTCACGTGGAACATTTGGAGATTTTTAGAGATCAGAGACTCAACTAAACACTAGAGTGAACTAAACTAAACACTATGAATCTCAACACTAAATGATGAAGACCGCCTCATAGATCTCAAAAACAAGCTGGTGCATTTCGACGATATGGGAAAATAAAAGCTTGGGCAATTATTTGAAGTTTATGGTATTCGTTTTGTTCATATTAC